CTCATATCAGTTACTACATGTGTAACCTTGACACAAAATCTCTTCAACCCTCAGTTTCCTCAATAAAACAAGGATGATACAACCTATTTCTGACAGCTCTTAAAAGGCTTAAATAAAATAGGATGTGTAAAGCTCTAATACAATGCCTGGGACACAGCAGGAATACATAACAGTATGCTTCCCCTTTTAATTTTCAAAATGCTTCATTACAGATCAATTCATAAAGAAGGTGAGTCTTAAAGAACAAGGAAAATGTTAGCTGGACAGGAAAGAGGAGCATAATCCTCTAGCACTCCTGATTTATTCATAACTTTAAAAATAAGAATACATCTCTCTATCACTCAATTACTCATGTGAAAATGCATTATTGATCTTGAAACACTTTTTTATACACACATATAAGATCCTCTTCTCCCACTCTCATAATTTTATAATTGTTTGAGATTCTACATTTGCACAATTTTTTCCCATTCTCTTCCTAAAGCCCTGACTCAGATCCTCTTTACTTTGGTTTATTCTTTACTTAGGATGACCTAAGTCTTAAATCAGAGAGACATACCTTAGAGTTCACTGAGTATTTTGAAAGACTTCTGGGAGAAAGCCAGAACCCAGTGACTAAGAAGTTAGAGTCACTGTGGCATAATAAAAAGAAATGGGCTTTGGAAACAAAGGCTTAAAACAGGGATTTCAAGTCCTACCTCTGCCCCACTCTAGATGTATAACCTTGGTCAAGGCACTTTGCCTTCTCTGGACCTCATTTCCTTATCTGTGAAATGGAGATAATGCCATTTATATCTCATTGTGTAGCTGTCAGGATTAGAAAAATGCTGATAACAATTCCTGGCATAGAAAGGGCCAATTAGAAAAAAAGGGGGGGCCAATTAATGGTAACTGTTATTAGGGTCAATCTGCCAATTGCCTTACCAAACATTCTGCAAGGCTGTACTTTCCTAATGGGCAAAAGGAACAAAACTGCTCTTGCATTCCCATGACTATATCCAAAAGGTTCCATTTTAGTAATCCATAATTAACCAAATAAAGAGCTTAAAGAATTCAGGACAAGAAGGCGCTAGCATGGCTGAACTCATTCTCTGCTGACAGCAACAAAGCCAGCACAAGGTGGATTCCCTTGCCAAAAAAAAAAAAAATCTGCTTGAACATGGTCATTACTGATATTGACGTAAGCACAAACTATTGTGGTTCTTAAGCTCACAGATTTATCATGAGAAAGTTTTCAGTTCAGTTCAGTCGCTCAGTTGTGTCCGACTCCTTGCGACCCCATGAACCGCAGCATGCCAGGCCTCCCTGTCCATCACCAACTCCTGGAGTCCACCCAAACCCATGTCCATTGTGTTGGTGATGCCATCCAACCATCTCATCCTCTGTTGTCCCCTTCTCCTCCTGCCCTCAATTTTTCCCAGCATCAGGGTCTTTTCCAATGAGTCAGCTCTCTGCATCAGGTGGCCAAAGTATTGGAGTTTCAGCTTCAACATCAGTCCCTCCAATGAACACCCAGGACTGATCTCCTTTAGGATGGACTGGTTGGATCTCCTTGCAGTCCAAGGGAATCTCAAGAGTCCTCTCCAACACCACAGTTCAAAAGCATCAATTCTTCTGCACTCAACTTTCTTTATAGTCCAACTCTCACATCCATACATGACTACTGGAAGTTTTACCTTTTCTGAAATAAATTCTCTCCCACATTGCTTTCTCTACTGTGGTATGACATTCCTATTACTCCATTTTCAAGAACATGGGAAAGAAATCCTCTCAAATACTGCTACTGCATTCACAGTGGACCATATTGTCCTATTTCACAGATCACCTCTTAACAGAGATTTTTGGTTTGTTGAGTTCACTTACAAAGAAAGACATTATATACAAATATATGACAGCCACGGTGACAAGATCTGTCCCCAGAGGACCACAAGTTACAGGATGGAGGTAGATGCCAAAGATAAGACAGGACTGAGTAACCTGCACACCATATGTTCACTCTTATTAAATGCTGCACTTGGGAATTCTCTTATAAAAAAGTTAATTTCCCTCGTGTGACTGAACAGAGTAATGGTACTAAGAAAACTAATGACAGATACACAAATAGAGTGAGGGAAACCATCAAAGGGAAATAAGCTTAAGATAAATAAGCTTGTATGTGACAATTAAAAAATGAGAGCAACAGTCATCAATTACATGGTCAAAGGCAGCTATTTCAATCCTTAGTACCTCCAGTCCCTCCCTACACTAAATAAAAGCAGACGGGAGTGAAGGTCAGAATGATTATTTAAATAAACTAAAAAAAAAAAAAAATCAAGAAAGGTTCAACAAATCAAAATCACACGGCAGTCCCTTGGGGAGGTGACTTTCAACTTTAAGAAAGGTCAGTCTCGCACACTTGTTTTAATTGAGCTACTTCAATGTCAAGAAAGTTAAAGGTTCTACCCCCTAAAAGCCCCTCAGAAATGCCTGCAGTTGTGTCAAAGGACTGCATCTTGGCCCAGAGCTTCGCCTGTTATACTTCCAGTGGAGAAGCTGTGTTTTGGTTGCAATTAACATTGTAAGGCAAGCTCAGCCCTGTCTTTCATAGCCTTGAGGCTGCTGAGTAAATCTAGAATCATGGGACCCACATTTTAATGCTGGAAAAACAGGAAGAAGGTGGTTCAGCAACAAGGAAAATGGTCAAGAAACACATCTAGAATTAGGAAAAACAGACTGATATGTTGGTCTCTCATGCTGTTCACTGTTTTATATAGAAACTATTGAATTGTATATACCTTTTAAAGGAAGCCATGGTGGTGCACTCAAGCCATGACTGTAGGAAGAAAAAAATAAAATCAACTCTTAACAATAGCTATAATTTCTTAAGCCCTTATTATATGTGCCAAGTTCAACAGTAAGTCCTCTACAAATATTTCTAACCTTCAATCGTATCAGTAACCTCATTTTGTAAAAGAGACAACTAAGACTCAGAGAATTTAGAAATTACCCAAAAGCTAGCTCGTAGGGGTACTAGGATTCAAACCCAGGTCTGCTGGACTGTAAATCCCATGGTCTAAAGGCCGTTTGTTGGGGAATTCCTTGGCAGTCCAGTGGTTAGAACTCTGAGCTTTCACTGCTAGGACCCAGTATTCAATTCCTGGTAAACTAAAGATCCCACAAGCTGCATGGCAAGGTCAAGTAAATAAAGGCAATTTGTTGAACACTATTATGCTTGAGACTTAATCTGTAGGTTTTACACAAAAAGATCCTTAATCACAGAATTTGGCCAAAGTTATAAAGCAACTCAACTAATTACAAATGTTTCAGATTTCCAGACTCATATCTAGGTACTACCAGCTTTGATGCCCATGTGTGTGTGAATGTGTGAAAGTCGCTCAGTCATGTCCAACTCTTTGTGACCCCATGGACTATACAGTCCATGGAATTCTCCAGGCCAGAATACTGGGTGGGTAGCCGTTTTCTTCTCTGGGGGATCTTCCCAACCCAGGGATCGAACCCAAGTCTCCCGCATCGCAGGTGGATTCTCCCCCCCACCCCCGCCCCGCCCCCCGTAGGTGGATTCTTTACCAGCTGAGTCACCAGGGAAGCCCAAGAATACTAGAGTGGGAAGCCTATCCCTTCCCCAGCAGAGCTTCCAGACCCAGGGGGTCTCCTGCATTACAGGCAGATTCTTTACCGGCTGAGCCACAAGGGAAGCCATGGTGCCCACGCTGCCTCTCTTTCCCCCAATAATTCTGCCCAGAGGAGTTTCATAACGCAAATGAGAAAGACATTGTCCTAAAGCATCATTAAACAAACTCCTTTAGCCTTGCCTCTGATGTTATCACTATATTTTAGTAATTAGAATGCAAGAGTTCTCTGATTTACACCTTAATAATGAGGCTATTACAATCAAAGTTAGGCTGGAGGATACAAGGTTTCAACTCAGCTGAGTCCTGCACAGTGAAACCAATGCAGATTTCACATCACTTTCTTGCTGTTCTGATAAATCATTCACAAAAAGAAAAACCTTGTATATCTCTGTGTTTGCATAATACCTCGGAAATTACAGTGATAATCTACAACCCTGTTTTTGCAATATCTGCCATTTTTCTCTGTACTGATTTGCTTTCTGAGAGGACACCACAGACAGCCACTGCAAGGGTAATACTGAGAATATCAAACATTCAGGCACATCTACTCCTTGGTGTTCTGAGACTACTGCCTCTTCAAAACTATACCTGAAAGAAACTGGCAGTTGAGACAGAAAATCTGACAGAGATCGCCTTTCCCAAAAGTAGAAGCACTTCTTCCTGACACTTACGGACCATAATAAAAGAACCAAGAAAAACAATCATTCTCTTCATACACAGTCTAATAATCCTAGTGACCAACTACTGAGCTGAGAGGACAAACCTCTGAAGAGAGGAGAGTGAAGTGAATCTATTACCCTATTACCCTTCTACTTTCAGAGAAAACCTAAGGATCTTGCACTATGTGGAATGAAGGGCACCACATCAGTACTGCTAGATGGAAGCGCCTGCCAACAGAAAGGCAGAGAGTCATCTTCTGTACAGAAACAGACAACTGAGGATCTCAACGCGAGGTAACTACTCCTTACAGAAAAGATGTCCAAACGGAAAAGCTCTTTCAACCCTTATTACTGGGTGAACTCTCAGAAGCAGTAAGGCTTTTCTACACCATCGGGGTCTTCTCCCCGACAGTCTGGAAAACACACACGGGAGTAGGTTAGGACTCTCCCAGCCTATTCCAAGTAGTAAGGGAGGGCGCTACCTCCATGTTATTCCCAGCGAAGTACGGCCGTACCACCTGGAGTCTTCGCCCCCCAGCACTGGGGCCCGGGTGCGGGCATCTCTGAGAGAGCGGGGTTTAAGGGGAAAAGAGATGTCTCTACTTCCAGCATCAGAAGGGAGGGCGTGGAGAGTGGTGCCGCCGCGCCGAGAGGATCTGCGGTTCCCCACCACCCTCCCTCTCCGAAAGAGGCAGCCCGGCCCCAATACCTTCTTGACTGTGCGCGGCGCCTCGGTGACGGTGCCGTCGGGGCTGACCAGGGCCTCGCCGCCGTCGCGGTGCCTCTGATGCTGGTGATGAGGGTCGCTCCGCTTCATGGCCGACGCCTGAGGCACTTTCCCAGCGGCTGGGCTGAGAGCCGCGGCGGGCCCCGATCCTGGACCGAGGGCCGGGGGCCGCTCCGCCGCCGGAGCTGGAGCTTCAGGGTCCCCGCCACCCGCTGGGGGGGCCATGGCGCTCACGGCCGCTGTGCTCAGTCCCAGCTGCGGCTCCGCCTCGGAGGGGCTCAGGTCCTTCAGCTCCACCTCAGGCACCTTCGCGGCAGCAGCTGCTGACACGACCTGCACCGACATCACCGCCTCCACTGCAACCGCCGGCTCAGACTCTAGCTCCGGCTCGGCCCCGCCTCCCGCCTCCCTTCCCCTTCCCTCCCCCATTCCCCCACTCCTCCCCTCCATCGCCTCCACTCCCACCCCCTTCCTCTGCCCGCCCGCCAACTCTCCAGCCAGCCCCGGCCTCTCCCTCCCCGCCCCGACCCGCCCCGCCCGACCCTGCTAGCTCGCGCGCGTGGTGCCACGGAACCTGTAGTGCGCTTGCTCAGGGCCGCACGCGGCGAAAACACCGTGGGACCTCAGCCCCCGACCACCACTGCGCGCTGCCGAGGGCGGGGCCGCGATGCCCCCTGGGAATTGTAGTCCCTGTCTCCTTCAGGCTAGCGGGATTCTGTAGTAGTAGTGGAGCCCTAGTCCAGGCGACTAACGGAAAGGCGTGAGAACGGGTGACACGACAAAGGACATGAGGAAGAGAAAGTCTCCAGAGGAACTGGGGCTTCCGGGGAGACAACACTAGAAACCCTCCGCCTGGGAAGGTGGGGGAAGAAAGGATTCTCTACCTTGACAGTGTACATTGCCTCCCTGTGTGCTAGTCTAAGATCACGTAAGCAGGCATTTAAAGGAAAAGCGGCATCACGTGGGGAAAGCGCTGCCCTGACAATTAAAGTGACTTGATTCTTCTGCCTCAGTGAAAGGGAACCCTAACACTTTTCTGAACTTTAATGGCTTTGTTTTTAGAAAGAATAAAATAAGACCTTACGTGCTGTGGTTATTTCTAGAACATTCTGGGCTTAGAGTTTACTGTCAGTCCAAAAAAATAGAAGTTCGGTATTACTAGGTAGGAAATTTTAAGGCTAAAGGGTCAGACACCACTTAGCGACTAAACAACAACGACAGAAGAATTACACGTTGCCTTAAGCTTAATTCTTTTGCCCTGTTAATTCTCTTTTTCTTTCTTCTCCTTTTTCTCTTTGCCCCTCCATTCAGCTTGTGGGATCTTAGTTCAGGAATTGAACCCCAGGCCTTCATCAGTGAAAGTAGGGAGTCCTAACCACCCAACCACCAGGGAATTCCCACTCTGTGAATTCTAATAGATGTCCAACCTAAGTTTGCATGCTAGTGGCACAAAGAGGTAAAATAAACCAAAATGTCAGTTTGGAGCACAGAAAGGTTTATTACAGAGTGCCAGGCACAAGAGGGAGCTAGTGCTCAAGAAAACCCGAACTCCCACATAGACAAAATTTGGGGTGAGGGCTGCCAATGTGTGACTATTCTTATTGTTTGGACGATGTCTGGATGTCTGGGGAATCTCAACCTTCTGGTTCCAACGTGTCTACGGTACACATACTTGTGGTCACATGCATGCGCTCACCATCATCTGCCTGGGCAGGGGGTTTTAGGTTCTGTAGAAGAGCTCAGAGATATGTATCAGATTATTATCTGTATCTCTTCAGGAGGAACTATGAGTCCTGTGACTCTATTGTCCTATTAAATGCTTGATCCTGCTGTTTGGGATTTGGGGAGTACCTAAAAGATTAAAGTCTTTTCTTTTTTTTAATTACAAACAAGAAACAGAGGACATGGAAGAGCTTTTGTCCGGAAGAGGGTTCCACAGAGTCTTGCTCAGTTTCAGGGATATAATGTAAAATTCAGATAAGTATATCAGCAAAGAGGAATACTAACTAAAATATGAATAGTGATTTCCTTAAGTGATGGGATTTGGGGTGAGTTTTTTTGGGTTTTTTACTTTGTATATTTCTGTATTATTTTTAAATTTAAATTTTATTTTAAAAGGTGTAAACGTAAAGGCATTTATGGCAGTTTAATTTTTAATAATGAAAAGGTATCTAAAACTAATATCCAACAATAGGGGAATGGTGTTGTTTAGTCGCTAAGTCATGTCCCGACTCTTTTGCGACCCTATGGTCGACCATCAGGTTCCTCTGTCCATGGGATTTCCTAGGCAAGAGTAGTGGAGTGGGTTGCCATTTCCTACTCCAGGGGATCTTCCTAACCCAGGGTTCACACCTGTATCTCCTACCTTGACAGGCAGATTCTTTACCACTGAGCTACCAGGGAGGGAAGCCCAGGGGAATGGTTACAACCTTTAAAAAATTAAGTTGGCCAAGAACTTTTTTTTTTAATGATAAAAGGAAATAAATGCTTGTGATAAAATAAGTTAAAAAGCAAGAGACAGATTGCACGTTCTCTTAGATTTTAACTATATAAAGAATACTTGAAAAAAAATATTAAAACACAGTTGACTTCAACAGATTATAGGGTAGGTCATTTCTTCTCTGTTCTCAGCGAAACTGAGGCAAAGGGGATCTTATGGTTTATGGTTGTTCAGAGAGTAAGTGATAGCCCTGACAACCCCAGAAGGCCATTGGACATCTAGATTTGGAGTGACTATTTTTTCCCTGGCAAAAAGGAGAGGGAGAAATAACCTGTCTTGATCTTTCTGGTGCTACTACTATCTTGGAAATCTGTTCATTTGTGGAGTTGTCCTACCCTGAATTGAATCTTTTGTATCCTGGCCTTCAAACTTTGTAACACTGAGTTAGAAGGCATTTGAGCACTGCCATTTCCACAAAGCCCACAAGTCCACCAGATACAAGGGCTTCTTAAGCTTTCTCTTCACATTCTGGCTTTCAGAATTTCCTTCCTGTTATAAAGAACCAGCTCAGAGCTTCATCCCCCAGCTGTCGGAGAAGAGATTAGCAGCTCTGTAACTGATTTCTTTCTTCCCCCTAATGCACAAGGGAGCTGTGGTACAGCCACCTGGCATGTGTTGAAGCTCTTAGGCAGCAGCTGCCTACCTGGATGGCCACTAGACTTGATTACTGAGGGAGTGAACTAATTTTTCAATGGGATGTGGTTACAAAACATAAGGAGTTGGAGCACTGGAAAGAAACTGATATTCATCCTTTCTTTATCCAGGCACCATCCTCTGCTTGAGGCCACACATAAGGGCACATTCCTCACCCATTCTCAACTTCGTCCTACACACCTGCTTCCTCCATCTTATTACTGAGGGACACTAGGCACAGCTGAAGGTGGAAATACCATAATGAAAACAGGATAACTAAGCGCAGGTTTATGAACTATTTAGTTTATGAAAAGGAGTACATCAAAGCTGTATATTGTCACTCTGCTTATTTAACTTATATGCAGAGTACATCATGCGAAATGCTGGGCTGGATGAAGCACAAGCTGGAATCAAGATTGCTGGGAGAAATATAAAAAACCTCAGATATGCAAATGACACCACCCTTATGGTAGAAAGTGAAGAACTAAAGAGCCTCTTGAAACTGAAAGAAGAGAGTGAAAAAATTGGCTTAAAACTCAACATTCAAAAAACTAAGATCATGGCATCTGGTCCCATCATTTCATGGCAAATACATGGGGAAACAGTGGAAACAGTGAGAGACTATTTTTTTCAGCTCCCAAATCACTGCAGATGGTGACTGCAGCCATGAAATTAAAAGATTGCTCCTTGGAAGAAAAGCTATGACCAACCTAGTCAGCATATTACAAAGCAGAGACATTACTTTGCCAACAGTGGTTCATCTAGTCAAAGCTATGGTTTTTCCAGTAGTCATGTACGGATGTGAAAGTTGGATAATAAAGAAAGCTGAGTGCTGAAGAATTGATGCTTTTGAACTGTGGTGTTGGAGAAGACTTGAGAATTCCTTGGACTGCAAGATCAAACCAGTCCATCCTAAAGGAAATCAGTCCTGAATATTCACTGGAAGGACTGATGTTGAATCTGAAACTCCAATCCTTTGGCCACCTGATGGGAAGAACTGACTCATTGGAAAAGACCCTGATGCTAGGAAAGATTAAAGGCAGGAGGAGAAGGGGATGACAGAGGATGAGATGGTTGGGTGGCATCATTGACTCAATGAAGATGAGTTTGAGCAAGCTTCGGGAGTTGGTGATGGGCAGGGAAGCCTGGTGTGCTCAGTCCATGGGGTCGCAAAGAGTTGGACATGACCTGAACTGATAATTAGACAACAGAACTTCTTCCTTCACCTGGCTCATTCAGCTTCCAGACCCTGACAGGCAGAAATGTATCGTCCATGCAGAAGACTGGAAGAACTCTAAGGTATCTGGCTAGTCCAATAGAGAAAACTTGAAGATAAACATCAAGAGTTCCCCCAAGGAAATAGGCTGACCAGATCACCCTTAGTGAAGACCATACCTACATTTGCAGAGCTTCCAGAGAACTACTTAGTGCCACACTCTTAGTATGAGCAGATAAAGTCACCAGAAATACAAAGAAAACCTTTAATATTGAAGACAGAGACCAACATAAGCAAACAGAAAAAAACAACTGGGAGAAAACAAGAGGCTACGCATCAAGAAGAAATCATGACCTCCTCAAAACTCATTAATATCCTCAGAGACTTAAGATATTGTATTTGTGAAAGAACATGCTGTTTCAAGAAGTGAACATTCAGGAAACAAACATGAGACCATTAAAATGAAAGCATACTAACAGAAAATATTTAAAACTCAATAAATAAAAAGAGGGAGAAACTGGGAATTCCCTGGTGGTCTACTGGTTAGGACTCTCCACTTTCAGTGCTAAGGACCCTAGTTCAATACCTGATTGGGGAACAAAGATCCCACAAGCTACACTGACCGCCCCCCCCCCAAAAAAAAGAAAGAAATTAAAAATAGGAAAGATGCAGTTTATCTTTCTCAAATTGTTGAATAATGCTGGCTTCTTTCTTTTTTCTGTTTTTAAAGTACAGTTGATTTACAATTTTGTGTTAGTTGTATCTAATGCACATTTTAACATGATAGGTTCAATGGATTTTGTAGCCACAGTTTTCTGGAAAAGTCAATCTCTTATGAATTGTTTTTCAGATCTTTAATACATTTTTTCCTCTAATTCAAAAAAATAGAAAAGAAGATGAATTAGAGGGTCAGTCCAAGAAGACCAAATAATACGAGTGCCAGAAAGGTAACAGAAAACTAGAGGTGGGGGAGGGCAGATTCATCAAAGAAATAAC